GCTATAATGTGAAGGAGTTCCAAATGTATAAACATCTTACAAAACCAGGAACAGTATGCGGAAAATATATCAGAAAGCTTAATATGGATGAGGTAAAATTATGGCCCATTTGTATTGTAAAAATGCTACAAGCTTGTCCCAATATCCAGGAACTTAGCATAAAAGATTATCAATACTATGGTGGAAAAGGTGACGTTAGAGATTTGCTAAGTGAAATCCTGCATATATTACCAAACCTTCAAAAGTTAGATATCAGATATAGCCAGAGATATTTTAACAAGGAAAATGCCATTAAAAAACTCATAGAAACTCGTAAAGACCTAAAAATTAGAGTAACACGTAAATGTGATATTCGCAAAGGCTAGCTACTACCTATTACTATTTGTTACTGCCAAAAAAAATTTGGGCACTGCCCTGTCACTGCCGAAAAAATTTGAGCACTGCCCTGTTACTGCCCATCACTGCCAAAAAAATTTGGGCACTACCCTATTACTGCCCACCACTGCCCGTCACTGCCGCAGAAGTTTGGGAAATACATGGACTTTTTCTAGCAAGATAGCGCTTTAACTTAGAGGGAAAATCAAAATTTGCTCCATATAGATGACAGGTTAATCTTTCTTGAGAGTATGAATTTTTTTTAAGTCAATAGTATCTATCTGCAAGGAAGTCACGTTAGTTTTCCATTTATGTAAAGAAATTGAAATGGTAATTTTCTTACGTGATGATAGAGGGATGGTCAGTTGCTGATTTTGGAAATCTAGAATGACATTAGCACGATCAATCCAAGGTACACCTAGCAATAAAAAGTCCTTATCACTCTTAACAACCATGAAGTCATCTTCGATTTTTTTAGAGTTCTCCCCATCATATACAAGGATACCAAGACCATATACTGTCCCAATAGTATCAGATTTTGTTGCAACACCACTAAGGTTAGGAGCATTACTTCTATCAACGTCAAGATTTAGGCGCTTTACAATATTGTTAGATATCAGAGAACTATTAGAACCAGTATCGAAAATTGTCGTAGGAATAACTAAAGATTTTTCACTCTCAGGTGCGACTACTTTGGTCTTAATAGTGACTACATCACTAGCAGACTTGCGGTTAACAATTCCAATACCTGCTATAGAAGACCATAAGTCATTATTACATATAACATCATCATTTTTACGGATTAAATTTGCAGCCATACTATTAATTACAACTGAAATCATAGGATGAAGGATAGATGTGAAAAGGTCCTTAATATTATCCCAAACTTTTTCACATGTTTTTATCAAGGGTTCTCCTTTAAGCTGACTGAGTACTGGTTCTTTATAATTAATAAATTTAGCATTCAGAGTATTGTAAGCGGATATAACAGTCTCTTTTGGTACAGCATTAACGAAGGATTGAACCAGAAGCTTTAAGAGTTGTATAAAAACCTCAAAGATAATACGCTGCCTTTCAAGTTGTGATTTCTTCTTATCAGTAGACTTTTTATCTACACATTTCCTTTCTGTAGGCTTTTTTTTTAATCTATAGCAGGCATGTCCAGAGTTTGAATCACTATCAGAGGAGTGAGAGGAGTCAGAGGAGTCAGAAACGTTAAAGGAATCAGAGGAGTTATGTGCATAATTTGTTTTCCTCCTTCCCTTCTTAGATTTTGGGCAGGAACTCTTAATATGGCCAGGTTTTTTACAACTTGAGCATTTCTTTGATTTCTTTGGTTTGCGTGTACCTGAGCTCATACCAAATACCTGATTACCACGGTAAATATGATCAAATGGTAAATTTTTATTAAGTTCTGTATCAATGAATATTTCAAGATCACTAAGGGTTACTTTACTTATATCGATATCTCTTGGAAGACGTAATTTATATGCTAAAGCAAATAATCTCTGAAATGATGTATCATTTTGAGGACTTGAAAATGGGCTAGAAGATGGTACTGGTACTGCAGATGATCTAGCCATAGTCACAGGAATTTTAGAATTTATAAGATTCTCAATATCTACTAAAGTTGGACCCTGATATGTAACTATAGGAGTAGGTGGTATATCTGTCCTGTATCTCTCAATTTCTTCCAATTTATTCAGAATAGATGCAACTAAATTTTCTAAACCAATACGTCACATATCCATCTTATTTTCACTGGAAAGACCATTTAAGAACTGTTGTCATATTAATTCATTCTGGTTTGCCTCTAGAAAAGTTAGATATGCAAATCTAACTATTCTTCGTAATTTAAAATAGAATCGGCTTACAGTATAACTACCCTGAACAATAGCATTATTAAATGCTAGCTTAGACTTTTCAGATGTTATAGTAGAGAAGTAATATCTAAAATGATGTAATACTTGTCTGATACGTATCCCAGGAGCTACAATTGTACCTCCATTATTAGCATTAGGATTATTAACAGCTAAATCAGTAGGACGACTATCAGCTATTGACCAATCTTCATCCTATACAGTATGATTAGATATAAAATTAGCACCAGTAATAGTATTAACTGCAGCAGCTTGTCCATGTAATACACCAGCCCTTCCATGAAATTGATTTGCAGCTACACTTACTATAGCACCATTATTCATATTATTAACAGCAGCCAACACTGGTCAAAATAAAAACTTTCGACTGTTAAGAGCTTTCGGTATAATTTTTGCCGATTGGTCATGTGATTCGTCACATTTTTTGACCAATAGCAAAAATCGGTAAAATCAATCACAAATCGACTGATACTGATTGTTAAATGGATACTTGTTCAGTTTTTTGGTGAAAAATCAACTTATACCGATTGTTATATGAAAAATTGTTCCTTTAAGATCATTCAGTAAAATTATACCGATTGGTCATATAAATCAACACAA